AATACTTTGTATATCCACCTTTTGCCTTGATAACTGCTTTGATTCTTGCTGGCATGCTATCTATATACTTCTGACAGTCTTCCTTAGTGAAGGTAGCCCACTGCTCCTCGACTCTTTGCCACAAATCATGCACACCTTTTGCTTTGGTTGGGTAGGCACTAAGCTTCAACTTTAAGTGATGCCAGACATGTTCAATTGGGTTTAGGTCAGGACTTTGTGGTGGCCAACTATATGTCCAATCAGCATCAAACTTGTTGTCCTAAAACCACTGCTTTGTAACCTTGGCAGTATGCTTCGGATCCTTGTCTTGTTGAAAATAGATATCCTCAGGGCTGTAACCATACCATTCTAAAGTATCCTTGAGAGTGGTTTCCAGGATGTGAATGTAGTCCTCCTTCTTCATGGTACCATCAAAAATCTGACAAGCATAACCAGGACCATCGTACGTTATGCAACCCCACATCATAATACTCCCATTACCATGCTTAACAGTTAAATCAAGATGATGAAATTGAAGTTCATCATCTGGCCGTTTCCAGTAATACCTTACACCATCCGAGCCCCAAACGTTAATTTTTGTTTCATCAGAGAATACCATACGTCTCCAATCGTCAGAGGTCCAAAACTAATGGGCTTTTGCCCAAGCGAGACGCTGTTTCTTATGCTGAGGCTTCAGAAATGGCTTCTTCTTCTTAATGCCCGATTGAAAGTTCATCATCTTTAGGATTTTAAGGCATGCAGAGTAACCAATGTTGTATCCAACACCTTCCAGATACTTATGAACGTCCTTGGCAGTTCTAAACTTACCCAAAACCAGCTGCTTGCGGATGTAACTACGTGCAGTAGTGCTTATAATAGGCTTGCGACCAGGTGCACCACAAGTCAAATCGGGAAAAAACCTCCTTTTATAGTCGCCAATGGTGCTTTTTTTTAGACCTGGAACACGTTTCATGATGGTAGAGTACGAGTGACCAGCCTGCAGTAACGACTTGATGTTATTTTGGACGTCTAGAGGTAATGTTCGAACCATGGTTGTTAGGTGAGATGTAAAAAAAGAATGTAGATGAAAGGTGGAACCAGAACTGAAAAAGTGAGTTCTTTTATATTATTGTAGGTGTAACAAAGATAGATACAACTCATTATTACAGATTATGACTCACTCTGACCCATTTAGAAGTAGTAACACAAGTCTTTTTAACGAGATTAGCAAAATTATACCTACCCTGAAAAATGGTCCGGATGGATACCTTCGCTGGGAAATGATTTTGAGGAACCGATATCCAGTAAAATTCCTTCAACTTCTTACACATAATAAAACAACGTTTTTTCTCTCTATCGTTTTTTATTTCACGTTAATTGACCCAGAATTCATCAAGTAACACCTAAAAAACGTAAAAGTTGTAAAACATCCGGACCATTTTTCCACCAACTGTATAGTTTACTTATTTTGCTATAATACGTTACTATATGACATGGGATATATAGTAGAATTAACATATGGACATGCAGGATATATTGATTCAACACCAAGGTATAATAGGTTATAAGTACTATTCTCTGCCTTCGGCATAAAGAATGATTACAAGATAATAGGTTGTGGTCATCCTTTACAATAACTGTTCACTCAACTCAAACACCACGCACGAATACTATTTTCCTAATTAATTCTATTTTCCTGCAAGCAGTGCTACATAATGGTTAGCACGGGAAAATAGGTTAGTTGCATGATCACTAGATCAAGCCATGGATACGTTTACAAGTCCACCCGCTCCGGGTAGATGCGTAATCTCCTCAAGGGAATTCTATTCTTTTACGGTTCAGAAGACGTACGTCTTCTTTGAGTAGAATAACTCAGCTGTCAGTTTCTAGGTTCCGCAATATGAAGAAATTTAAATTTTTGCAGTAGATATTTTTCTTCTCTTTGAACTTAACTTGATTCAAAATAAAGACCTACTAGTTTGATCTCGTTAACTTTTTACTGTTTTAATTAAGTGATATTTAACTCTACAAGTCGTCAAATACCACAGTAATGACGAGTGTAGCCAAGACCAAAAACGGGACTAGTTGGTCAACCATTGTGATTAATAGCCTGAAGACTAAAGTTCCTCGCCCTCGCATTAGATACGATATCCAGGGCAACAGAGAATCTTACACTGTGGAGACACTTTTTGAAGAAGGCGAAGTGGCCGTGTCGTATTTGAGGCACGATGGCAATATTATATGAGTAAATTACTCAAAACGTCTAACGAAATAATAAAACTTGATCTCAGATATGAGTACTGCTCATATCTTCGTTCCCGTTTGGTAAGCGGTGTGTTCGATTGCATACATTTGAACCTTAGATCAAATGTATAACAAATAAAGATAAGATAAGATAAGAAAAGAATATGGATTAAGGATAATTCTTATGTGAGATTAGCTACCTCACATAAGACTTGAACAGGTTATCTTTATGAAATATATTTTACTTAGGTTATCTATGGCTATATGACATTCAGGTATATAGCAGGATTGGTATATGTACTCGTAGGATATATTGATTCAACAACCAAAACATAGTAGGTCACGGTACTGCTCCCTGTTCTGGAAATAAAGTATGGTTGGAGATAAAAAAGGCTCAATCACTCTTTATTAACACAATAACTGTTCACGCAATCAAAAGAACACCACGCACGAATATCTCTTCCTAGCCAACATCTATAATCATTCCCACAGTATCTGAGCTACACAACTGGTGGCCGATAGATATTGGATTATAGATGTAGCTGCATGATCACCCTGGATCTGCCAGGATAGCACATTACAAATCAATCCCTCTGGGATGGACGAGTAATTATCCACCTAAAGGGAAGACCTATTCTTTTACGGAAACCTCTGATTCACTGAGTATTATTTGACCATAATACATCAGTGTCAGCTATAGATCCCGATACAGTCATTTCGTAGACAGCAAACACAATAAGTCTTTATTAATAGCAGTAATTTTAGTTTTCTTTTCTTTTTCTGGAGTTTGTTTTTGGAAAGAGAAATAAAGACGGTGGTTTGATTTCGTTAAGCTTTCGTGTTTATTTTCTCTTGTGTTATTCTTTACCTTTTACTTCATAATTAAAACTAGCGAATACCACAGGCCGAATACCTCCGGTCCCAACGCGTGCATGTGTAAATCTTATCAATTAGGATTATAGTGGACTAAGTTAAGTAGCGAGACTATAAAAAGATATTGAATTGTCTTTATTTCGAGTTAACATTTGGGTCTCTTTTATATCTTTTGGAATAAGTAATCTGTTTTTGGGAAAGGCATGTCTGAGACCTTGTAAATAATTATAGGCGAATAGTAAAATACATGTAATGTTGTTTAGGTGAATAATTACATATATTTGGCCTAGGTGATTATGGAGGACATCACAGCATGCCATAGTCAACACGGCTATCCAGCCAGGTGCTGTCATTTTCTCTGTCCCGAGCCGTTACTTCCGCCACCAGTCAGAGGCCTTTAGATGTGTAGTGGACCAGATTGGCCCTGTCGTGGGCAATTATTTCAATCCAATTTCCCTCCGCGGGCAACGTACTCGTGGAGATTTGATTTTTATACCAAATTTAAGGATGACGCGCATACAAAGCAGGCGCTTGAATCTGGATTCACCCATGAGGGTGTTCAATATACGTATATCACTTGCTACTGCTAACACCAGTCCAATGACACACGGTACCACTTCCACACCATTAAATATCTTATATGACAATGGAAATCATATTATTACATGGTCACACATTTTCGATGTTACAGTGACTCACAAAACTGTTCACATGTTTGGTACTTTCACACATTTTGACTCATATCTTTGGAAGTTTTTGCGTAATCGGGATGAAACTTGGGTCAAACGAAAGCCCAAGTCTTGTAAAAAGTTATGTTAGAATATCAAAGTCATATGCCTTTTTCTTCTGGCGGAAGTTCAATTTGAAAAATGCATATCCATTTGAACAGTTTTGTGAGCTAACAAAATTCCGTGGGTAACTTATGTAAACCACAATTTGTCACGAGTTTTTTTGACGTATTCTATTACGATGGAATTGCCAAGACTTAAGAAAGTCTTTGTACATTAATTAAACCAATTTATACCGATAAAATTCCAATATCACAAACGATACCATCCAGAATGCAAAAACTTAGCAATGATCAGTACAACTCAATTGTCTCGCTCCTCAAGGGCGGTGTAAGTGTTAGAAACATAGCCAAACGGGTTGGTGTTAGTATTGGGAAGGTCTCTCACACCGATTAACTGAGAGCAGTGTACTATTCATGGTAGCAAAAAAAAGATATATGAGAGTCATGCTAGCATGAAATTTGCGTGGTAGAATGCAAAATGCTCGCAAATTCATCACGCATTTTGCGTGCCACCACAGAGTAAAGCTGGTATAGTCGATGCTACCATGCAGGTTGCGTGCTACCATGAATAGTGCACGGGCGTAGACTTTAATCATTTGAGATTTCCGCTCATATTCTGGACTTAATCTTACAAAAAGAAGAAGTTGTGCCACCAACTCTCATAAATGAAACTACAATTGGCGCTTCCCTTTTAAGAGTTTCCGCTTATGCTTGTTTCTTTCTTTTTTAACTATTTCCGCCTACTAAAAGAAAACATAACGAGATGTTGACAATGGCAACAGGAATGTTCCTATTCGCGCAATGTCTTTCACAATTATTAGCGACATTACCAGTTCATCTTGCGAAAGGAAAAGTGTAAAAGTGTAAGTATATAGAGAGCGTAGAATGCGAATGCACACGCATTCAATGGTAGCGGTGAACAGCAAGCAACTTTGTTTTTGTCTGAATGTTTGGACGAGATGTCGACATGAGCTCAGCATGGATCTCGAAATCGCAAAGTAAGCGAAATGAGAATCGTTAAAGGAAAAAAAAGCCAGTTGTAGTAAATATAAGTGGATAGTATATATAATATTATTTATTAATATTAGGTGGATATAATAAGTGATATGGTAAATTATGAAGGCAAGAAGAGATTAGAGACCTTGCCTGGATTTTTCAACAACTTCTCAGACAGGGCATCGCCAGGTGTCACAACGTATTTGAAGGATGAAACAAAGCACGCTTCAACATCGTCATCATCATTAGCAGGCTTTAAAACAGAAACGAGACCGACAGGACAGACAACATCATTACAATCGATACGTTGTAATCGATTGGTTACTGACGTACCAAGTGACTTTACTCGTGGAATGTAATTATTTGTAGGAGATAGGGAACCTTCCAGCAATTCACCAAGGATGTAAAAGCTTTCTGGTCTATCGTCAATCTTGAAATTAAAAAAGATCAAGACTTTAATAACATACCAACATTCTTGCGATTTGGAAATACGACTATTATCGACAAATTGCGATGAAGGCATAATTAATACTAAAAAAACGCATATACTGTAAATGTGAATAGACAATGCACATACCCTCGGTGATATACATTATGGGCATATCGAAACAACACATGGTAGCCACTTCTGCTGATATTTTTGTTTTTTTGTCGGTAAAATTCTGATTGATAAACAACATAATCCTTCCACATTCTTCCGGAACACTTGATGGGATATAACAGCTCAGCGGAAGAGAACGCTGTATTTGATTGAGTCTGGCATTTGATGCGACCAATATAATGAAGCAAGGATATGGCAAGTGTACAAATGTTGAGGGCGCTGTTGATGTGCAACTTTGTTTGCCTGCTTGTACTGCCTAGAACAATGTCAAAAGCCTGGAATGGCGACTAGAGTTGTGGCTTTGTTTCGTCCAGTGAGGGATAGTCGCGAAAGCTTTGTGGATCGGACTGTGTGGCAAAAGGAGCATCAAAATCAATGATACCGGAACTTTGAAGGAAAGAGAGCATGTTCTCGATTTCGATAATATTGCCAGCGTTTTCACCTGCATAACGAGCTGCATTCATTACTCGTTTCAGCGCACCAATCTTTCGCTCCATGGCTCTTGTACTATAGGCCTTTAAACTACCTTGTGCTTTTATGAATTCAGGAATATGGGAAAGCATATGGAGGTTGATGCGGAATAACGTTTTTGAGATCCGCCGCTGTAACAAGCATGCATCAAGAAAGCGGAAAAAGGCTTCGATATTATTACGGATGGTGGTAAGCTGTTCTTCTGATATGGTCCACTGAGTCGCCAATTTGACAGCATGACAAAGCTTATTAAGTGCTGTTGCTGCATCTACATCCATGAATGCTGGCGTTATCAACGTTGGTACAATATTAATCAGCCAATTTATCCAGTCGGTACTACGATATTGACCTTTCAGTCTATCGCAGATGTTGATACCCTTCCATGATGCATGGAATTGAGGGGGGATTTCAGCTCTCGACATATCAGTAGCTTGCTTTATAAGAGGGCCATAGCTTCGACATTTTAAAAGGAAAGGATAGGTGTCGGCATTTCCATTATACTTGTACTTCGAATTGAATGGAGGGGATACAACTTCATTGATTAGTCGAGCAACGTTTGTAAACAAGTGGAATTCGTCCATCAGCTGAAAGTGAACATTAAAGGTGCAAAGATCGCCAAACATATTACAACTATGGATTCCCCAATTGCAACTCTCCTTGGATGTCTATCAACAATTAAAAGACTTTAAAATGAGTATTTTGTACAAAAAAAAAGCTACTATCAAGCATCTAAGGGCTTACATCGTTCACTTCTTCTGCCAATAGATTAGCTATCGTGCGTAGCTCCTGGTGTCTTAACGGAAAATACATAGTGGATTTCGGCTTTCCTTCGTCTTCAGCATGCTGTCCTTCAGCTAGACAATATGAAATGATTTGAAAAGTTTTGTTAGCGACGGAACGTGTAGCAAAATCTGACGTGTGTATCTTACTTTTGCACCACTTGCAACCGTATAAACCTTGATGACCTATTGTAAGTTCAGAAGGAAACAATAATGATTAGAGCAGTGCAACAGAGCTGAAACAGTTCGGAAAAATGTTAACATCGCTAAGACGTTACCCGAATGGTTCATCAACTTAGATGCTTCCATCAAGTCCGAAGCGACTCCGAGGCAGTACACATTAGCTTCAGTAATGTATTCACCGTTTCTGAAAACTCGCAGAGGTTTCTTTTCCAGCTCCTTTAGTTCATCACAAATCGGTTTAAGAAAGCTCTTGATATCTTTTGCGCGATTGCCGTATAAAACAGCCAAAGGAGTGACATTACGTTTGGTGAGTCTAAAATAAGAATATATAATGGTATTATTGTATTAGAAACTCTAAAGTGTATCCTGATAAAGTTGGCACGCCTAGGCTTCAAAGATAAACACAATACCTCTCAGTTGGTGGAAGATTTAGAACAACCGCGTTGATAAGCACCATGGCTGTTGAGCTCGATTTTGATGTGAAGCCATCCATATTAATGACGATAAAGATGTCATACTTTTTCTTACCATAACCATGCGACTTTAAGAATTTCTGATACACCTCACCCGAGAATATATCACGATACACTCTGTCATTATCTTCGTTTTTCTGGAAGGCTTGTAGATTAAACTCTTCACTGCGATACTCCAATGCCTCACGCACTTCATCACACGCCAGCATTTGTGAAAACTTGTCTTTCAAGGACACCATTTTCAAACGTCTTTTTTACAGAACCCCGAGGCTTCTTACAAATCGGACACTTGTTTTTATCATAGTCCACAACAGCATCATACAAGTAGCAACCATTACTGCACATTTCAAACTCACGAGCGAAAGGAAGAGGTAGCTTTTCACGAATCAAGGCCAATGTAGCACGCAACGTCAGTATATCATAGTTGACATATCTTGATTGTACTATGAAAAGGCAAGGTGTTCGTTAGCGTATATTGTACTTCAAGCGGTAAGCAGCCTAGTCACTGTTGTATAATGGAATGGAATGCTGATGATTACTATTGTTTTCTGCCAAAACTCTTGCAATATAGCTGTTGATGACGGTAGTTAGCTCGTTACTGCTTTGAATGCTGATACCATTATCCTTGAAGATTTGAAAACATCTAATACTATGAATTTCGGACGTGGTGAATGGATTCCTTGGTATTTGCACTGAACGCTCAATATATAAAGCTGATGATGGAACAGTGGACTCATAATCTCTGGGAAGAGGCATCATCTGAACGGTGGTTACATCTTGGTGGGCATCCACAACTGCAGTTAAAAAGAATACGTTAAAAAAGAAAGGGTTAAGTATGCAAAGTGTCGGTCATCTATACTTTCAAACTGAGTGATCTCCTCACTTCAAGAATACTTACTCTCTATATCATCTATCTGGCCGTTGTAGCCTGCAAATACATCGTCATCTAAGTCATTAAACAATCCATCTTCAACACTTGCGTCCAACTCTTCATCAGTATCATCTTCAGTCTTATAGTAACCGGTAACTTCATCATCAAATTCCTTGAAACTGAAAGCGCTCTCATCGATATCTATTGGAACGGCGGAAACATCTTGCACTGCAGAAGAGATACGATTATTAGATCTGCTAATTCTCTTCTCTCCAGAAAAAACAGCCCAAGCGTCCTTCTTGAAAGAAATAGGAAGAGTACTGTGTCTACTACGGAAAACGCGTTTCTTGATATTTCTAGTGGTGTTTGACATAATGATAGACAGATCAAGATGGATTGGAAGGCAAAAAAAGTTAAAAATTTGACATGTGTACAAGAAACTCATTATATACATTTTGAAATTCGTACGTCTAGTTTCCTGTTTCTCCCGTTGCCAAGGTATAGCAATACTTGTGCTAGCTTGGTGCTTTTTGTTACTTCCGGTAAATTACGAAAGCTTCAAGGTGAAGGCAACTGTAATGCCCAACTGATCTGAGCTGCTATTGGATTTTGGATGTATAGGTATGGCAGCTTGTTTGTTTGGTTTTGTTTTTTTTTTTGCCTTTTTCGTTCTGAGAGCCCTTCCTGTATAATTCATTTTTTGTAACAGGTCAGACTGCCAAGCTGCTGGAACGTTAAACGGCACAGATCAAAGTTTTTTTTCCTAAACTGTAAACTGTAAACAAAACCTGTAAAGCTTCCGATCGGATTCAAAATCGTTTGTACCTGAAAAAATGGCGGGGAACAATATTAATAGTAAAAAGGTAAGATCATCCTTAAATTTCTTATTCTCTTTTGACGGTAGCAGTTGCTAAACATCTGCTGGAGGACTGTAACTTTGTTGCCGTCGGGGTTTTAAATCCAAAATAGGAAATGCTCTATTCTGGTCACGTGACAAGAGCTAATTGCGGAGCAATGGCATTATAGGGACACCGCTCTGATATGAAATATATAAAAATTCTAAGCTCAACGATACTAGTCTCGCGTCACAGAGCCAATCTATGTTGGAGAAACAGTCGTTCAAAAATTGACCAAAATATGGTATACGTAGTTTGAGTTTCCAAGTTTCTTATGATGAACATCTTTAGTGTAGTGGTTAATAACACTGCCAGCGTAGCTGGCGACCGGTGTTCGAGTTTCGCATAATTCTTTTATTTTTATTATTTTGCGTGAGACGTTTCTAGAGTATCCTTTTGTATTATTGTTTATACTAATGATATATGACCTCCAGCTGATCCAAAGCCTTTAAACGAGTATCTAATGACTTACTGATCATAAAATGTTTCATAATTATCGCAAATTATTGCAGCTAGCAAAGGAATATGATACAGTATAAAGATAAGCCATTATAAAATAAAAAATAATTTTGCAATTGTTTGAGCTCTACTCTAAATACTGTAATAACAAAAAAACATTGATGTTTGGTCGAGTTATATAAGTATCGTTGTTTTCCTTATTCAACTCTATTTGATTTGATTATATTTGTTATTTCTATAAATCTCTTCTTAAATCTTTTAGGGGGATTATTTAAACACTGGTTTTTTTTTTTTTTTGGCTCAACTTTCATTTTGTTTGATAATATGTTCTCGTTTTGTTGTTTTTCTTTGTTGTATTTGTGATACTAACATCGACTTTCTATCAACGACATCATATAATACATTTTGAATCTAATTACAATATAAACAAGAGCCGAGATGGTAACAAATTTAAAGGATTTTCTCTAAGTTTCTTGTGTACTTGTGTTCTGATCTGTCGCATTTCTTATACCAGAGTAAACGAATATTTGTTTATAAATACAGATTTATCACTAGTTTATCGTTTACGTTTATGTAAGCTAATATGAATACACTTTGAATTCACATTTCAATGAAGTTCAATTTTATTTTGTGTCTGGTTACTTGAACAGCTGCTATTACTATCCTATTGTCAGGTAAGACAATAATGATTTATAAAGATTCTTGTTTATCAGACGTTATTACTACTGCTTCAACTCTTTCTTCAATTTCAAACTTCTTCTGAATAATCAATATCCGTTTTTTTCTTTTTCTTTTTTCTTTTCGAAGGAACCCTTAAAGCTATCAAAGAGCGCTATTGATAACAATTGTCCGCGCATTGAGCTAATGGCAAAGTGGGGATACACTTATAAAAATAAAAAGCTTATTGATGTTAGACAAAAGATGATTTCTTGCACATAACAGAGTTAGATCATTTTTATA